ATATATACATGTTTTTGTTTCATATATATTTTGTGGACCAAACAATGAGGAGATGCATGAATGTCAAACACTACATATTTTGTGGTAAACAATTTTGTTGTTACGTCAACTGTGGTGTACAGAACTACAGACTAATCAATAAATATATGCAAGCAATGAATAACCTATTTATAGTTTTCCCCTTTACACTCTTTTTCTCATTGCCATGCATGGTATCCAAAGTTATCTAAAGTGAAAAAAAAAAAAAATTTAAATTAAATTTTCCCTTGATTTAATTTGTCATTATCCACTATTAATAATTTCATCATATTTTGTCCTAAATTTTTATAATAATTTTAAATTTAGTCATTAGTTACTATTTTTATATCTTTTACTGGAATCATCAAAATTAACATACAATATATCACTAACCAATTTTACTTTGAAGGCCACACACATTTGGACATGACAACGTTTAACATCTAAACTCTCAGTGAATTTTCTAATTGCATTAAAAAGAGCCATAATAGAATCAAAGCAAGAATGTGTATATAATTGAAAATGAAGTGAATTGAATCAGGAGATAGTAATATACTTTTTAATTTATTTGCTTATAGACATTACGAAGACAGATGAAACAAAACTGATAATAAAAGACTAAATCGTCAAAGTTAAGGATAAAATGTGATCAAATTATTAGTTGAGAACTATATCTAAAAATGTTACGATATTTACAAAATGAGAATGGTGATACGTCTATACTTATTCATTCTCATTGACATGCATCATGGTATCCAAAGTCATCTAATCCAATCTAATATATTATATAAAGTAAATAATATAATATTTAACCAAGTGTTTTAAAAGAAGATATAAAGAAATGAATTTGAAAATAATTGAAGTTGGTATGATCCCTTTCAATTGGAGCTGACCAAACGAGGCCTAAGAAGCTCCAACTTAATGATGCCATTTCGAAAAGGCATTTGCTTTTGCTATTTTGGTCAAAGTGAGTGTAGGGGCCATGGAGGCTAGGGATAATATACCTCTTAATTAATTGTACTTCCTTTATTTAATTCTCAACTAATTACATTTAATCAAAACTATAAAAGTTAGGGGCTGTCATCTGTCTGCTGCAAATTATTGTCCATTCTACCCTCCAACTTTGACTAAACTTTGAATAATTATTTTCATTTCTATTAATTAATTGCTCCCTTCTTTAAAAAATAAATAAATAAATTATTCCAAATTTCAATCGATCTAACAGTCTGGAAATTTTTGGTCATATAATCAGCTCTTACGTTTGCTTCTCCCATTCCATCATTGTTTTTTAGTATCACATGATGAGTGTTCTTATGTCAACCTATGATATAGACATGCATGATAAAATTTTCTTCAAAAATTTAATTGTAAGCAGATATTTCCTTTTCTTTTTTTTCTTTATTTTTGTGTTAAAATTTTTCATGCATAATGAATGTATACTTATTCTCATTTCATTCTGCGGTGCATTAAGTGCTGGCTTATGGTACATTTATGAGAGGTATGTTGTGCATTAGTGATGCTGTGATGCACCACCAAGTGGCCGAAAATCAATCAAAGTGGAAAATGCACCATAGAGCATTTATAAATGCACCACACACTAACACGTAATGCACCTAACTAACAGGTCTATTGAACCGTCGACGAGTTTGACACGGTACCCTACTAAGTGCATTACAGAACAATGCACCATGTATCACTTAAAAATGGACCACAAAGCACTTAAAAAATACACCACACACTAGCACGTAATGCACCACTGAAATATACATATGGTGCGATAAATTATGAAATTGCTACCACGTATTTTGTATTCTTCATTGATTTCTATTCGTTTGATCTCAGTTCATCATACGGTTCTAATATATTTGTATGACCACACGAGAGAGCAGAGTCACATTAGAGAGCAAATTGCAATGAACACACACACGTATGTATGTATGTGTGTGTGTGTATATATATATATATATATATATATATATATATATATATATATATATTCTTGGTTACAAATTGCAATGATCGCTGTAATTTGTACGTGTACATAATGCCAATAATGTGCCATCATTATTAACTCTTCTACGTAATTTTATCAGTCATATATAACGCATTATTCGTCCTATCTGCATTTTCCTTTTTGGTCATATTCTTTCTTTAATTATTATAAAAATAGTAGAGAACTAATAATAATTGTAATAGTAATGAAATATCATATTTCTAGTATCTTAAGTGTTAAGAATAATATATAACTTCACTTTCAATTTAATCTCCGGTGACGAAGCTAATAGATTGCATTCGTGTTAGTTTAGGGTTTTTTTGAAAAAAATTTGGGTGGTAATTTCTCCTTTCAATCCTCAATTCTGCAGTGATTAACGTGAATGGACTCGATTAAAGCATTAAATACAATCATTTATATTTTATATATTATACGATATAATCCATAGTCAAAGGATTTGAATTCATGACCTTTCGCAAAGCTTGTCTGTAATAATAAATTGAAGAATGTGTAACATCTCAATTATACTAATTAAGTTAATAGTTGGACTACACATTTATATTTTATATATTATATGTTTAATATTTATCAGTTTTGTTACTAGAAGAACTGAATTGACAATCTACTTAATAACAATCTTATCACTAATCCACACATGCATATTAGTACAAGGTTAGAACATTAAGTGGCGACTCTAGTCAAACTGGTTGTGCTATTGATTTAGTATTTACAGGGTTTCAAATTCAACTTTCAATGAGAATGATCTATTGACCTTCTTAATTTGATTCAGTTAGTTGTCATTTTTTATTTGAATCGGCTAGTTATTGTTCTCAATTTGAATTGGTCATCTACAAACAATCTAAACTAATTTATCTGTTTATAATCATTATTTAACGGTTAGAGTCACAAGACAGGATATACCCAACATTTAAAAAAGAAAAGGTGTGAAATGTGGAAGCTAAGGTAGAACATTCGAGCCAAAATAACATAATTATTATTTGACCTAGTTGGTATCAAATCAAGAAGAAAAGGGATAATGATAACCTTAATAAAACCTGCAGCAGCTTGGTGTTACCAATTAACCTAGCTAGGTAGCTAGCTAGCTAGCAGTAGCAGCTACTATATATACTTATAACTTTTTCTCAAATCATTTTATTAGAGCTCCAAACCATGCGTCATCATTGTGCTTTTCTTGTCGTTTAATTTCTTATTTTTAGCTTTTTCGCATGTTTCTCATTATTGTTTTTACCATTATTATCATTTCATTTTACTTTACTTTACTTTTGTGCTTATCATTTTGATTACCAACAGTTCCATGTTACTGGCTGGTGTAATAATAAGAGTTATATAGGTTAAGAATCATGATTGCTTGTAACCAAAGTGGTAGTAGTTAAGAGTGGTTCACAATCAACTGTACAATGGTTGAAAAGTGGTGATGCATGTGCCATATATAGCTAGGCTCATATTTTGAATTTGGTAGAAGAATGCAAGAGAGAAATTGCTAGGGATTGGGAGTTTTGTCATGTGTTCCAAGAATAGAATAGAGTAGTTGATTTGTTGGCAAATATTTTCATGCAACATTTGTGAGTATTTGGGTGTGGCCCATGGTTTCCATCGTTGAACACAGTGACTAATTCCCTCGCTGGATTGTAGCCACCTCTATTTCTATTGGTATCTATTGAGTCAAACAGTTGGCCTGGAGATTTAAGACTGTTCTATACCCAAATCCAAGAATCGAATCCTTAACTTTTAGTTAAGGATAAATGAGTTTCTTTCACTCAACTCCACTCCCAAGTTACATTTGTGAGACTGAGTGATGATTTCTCCTCCCAGAAGGGCTCAACAACTTTTGTGGGATGATAAACACTAGTGTCTCGTAGCCTAGAAGACTTAATGTTATGCATATGGATCATAGTTCTCCTTTTGGTTTACTTTTAGAGTCCCATGTTAGAAAGACTAGTAAAAAATAACATTTAAAGTGATTATTTTAAGATAATATTTTGAGTGAGATCCACTCCAGATTTGAGTTAGGTCAAAATAGATTCAAGTTTTTCTAAATCAAAATGAGAGGTTTAATTTGATATTATACACTCAAAATAAATAATAGGTTAATGGCAAATTGATTCTTAAAATGTACCTATTAAAGTTGAGAGAATGAAGTTTGAGAAGATATTTTTAAATAACTACTATATGTTAAAGAATTTAAATGATGTAGCATGAGCAGTGTTGCAAAAATACTGTCTAGGATTCGGTGCCTAGGTGCTGACCGCTTAGTATTATAAATTCAAGGAATTAATTTTTCCTGATTTTTTTATTTAAAAAAAAAAACTTAATGTGTATAATTTGTTTGGATTAATAAACAGGCATATTTACATATTATAACATTCGAGATTATCTATAACATAATTAATAATTAATTTGTATTAATTTCTCAATTTCCAATTGTAAGTACTAAGTAGTACCAATGTCACATGTGCTGGTGTTGTTATATTCTCTTGTTTCCTTTAATTTCCCTTTTTCTTTAAGGATTGAATATTTCTTTGACTATTCCGAAACAAACCCTACCACACTTTGAAAGCTCAACATGTCCCTTCTTTCAAGACAAAGTTTACATTACATTAATGTATTGCTTTATTGTATATCTATCAGTTTGTATATTGTTTTTTTTTTTTTTTTTTTTTTTTGGGGGGGGGGGGGAGGCGGCGTTATATATAAGGAAAGTGTCAAACTACTTCTACAATTGTCACTCTCTAATATAACAAAACATCGCATCAGAATGAAAGTGAATGTACAAATATTTGAACCCGAGTTATTAATACACATTAATCAGGGTACAACTCAATCACAAAAAAGATTCATTTCCCTATTATTATTACAACCGAAATTCGATATTCAATAAATGAACATTGATTATCATAATTAACATGATACACTTTAATTTATTCTGGAAAAATAAAATCAAGACATGTAACAGACGATTCTCCGATAATTCAGTTATCATTTTCCTTATTAGAATAGACAAATACACATGATTCTGGCTCTTTTTGATCCGTGATAACAACTGATTACTATCAGAATAAATATTGAAGTTAGTAGGAAACAAAACAAGATACAAATCTGGTGATATTATGAGCAGGCGATGATGTCCTCAAAATCTAGTCTAGATATAAGCATAACCTTACAACCACAATATTCCAAACAACCTGCAGATGTTTCCATAGGTTAACAGGTTTTGAGCATTCCTTCAAAACCTCTCTGGCGCGCTGTACTTCAAGGGCTCTTCGAAGCTTTGTCCAGAGCATCAAAGACGGTCTGTACATTTACTTCCTCCACAATCACAACCTTATCTCTAGACTTTGACCCTGAACCTATGGAAACTTGCCTTCGTTTTACACCAATAACCTGTCCAACTGTAAACTCGTGAGATTTTCACAAGGGATCAAAACCCCTTTACTAAAAAGCCTAGGAGGAAGAAACTCAACTAAGGCTCCGTTAGGAAAGCAGTAAAATGGCTTCTGGAAAATAACTCATTTTCCAGAAAACATTTTCCTTTCCGGTGTTTGGCTGCACAACGGAAAACTTTCTTTTTTGTGTTTGGTTCATTTTCCGGAAAATGAGCAGGAAAATGAACAGAATTGTATACTTCAACATTTTAATTCAATGATATTGCCAAAAAAATGTAGAAACCAGTCAGCCAGATTACAAAAGAGCATAGGAGGAGGGAACTCAACTAAGTTTTACACCCTTACTCCAGAACTAGAGACAATGTAATGAGAAGACAATAAAGAAAAGTTACTTTATTACAAAAGAGCATAGTCTAAACTCTAATGGTAAATATTATTCACATAGCCAGTTTGCCTAGCCACTTCCTAATATGAATCTCATGCTGCAGATTCTGTTTTACCAACACTTTTCTATGTGCACACTGTACATATAGTTACATATATAAATATAATGAACATCTCGAAGTATATCAAATAATGTGAAGCTTGTGATTGATATCAAATCCTTCCCCAAGATATGACCAAACTTTGATGTGTGTGCGTGTGTCTAAAGGGAACTCATAATGTGAAGCTTGTGATTTGATCTTAAAACTTCACCTCTGTTGTAAGGAAGTGCTCACCAAACTTGGCCAGCTCCTCTTGTCAAAAGGGAATATTTCTTTATACAAATAGTAGACAACTAGGTTGTACTCTTCTTTTTGTAGTTAATAAGATTTACACAGCTTACCCACCAGCAGTTTCTTGTAGGATGTAATTAAAGTTCTTGAAATGCAAGAAGACAGAGAAAGGAGAGATTTGCAGACCAGAAAACAACGGAACACAACAAACATTTGGAAATGCAAAAAGGAAAGATTGCGAAGATCAGACACCAAGGCATGAATTTGGTCTGTTAAGTAAGAAAGAAATGCAATACCTTCATTGATGCTTAGTATCACATCTAATATGGGAAAAAGTAGTTTTTCAAACTTCTTTCTGGTAATGGAATTTTTTCAAAAGGCTATTCGTAGATCACTAACAGTCTTGAGAAACTTTGTTGATGCATAAACTTTGTCTCTGAGGGTTGGATGAAGGGAGGCAAAGTTCAGTGGCTAACTATTGCTCGATTACCAGTAGGTGATAATCATCCATTGAAATAGTTTTTGCAGGAAATTGATCAGCAAATTTTTCCCTTAAAAATATGGATGATAACCTCAATCTAGCAGAAAATGAATCAATTTAAAAAAAAAAAAAAATCTGTTTTCCTTAATCAAAGCATCCATATCTGAAGTGTAAACTAAAAACAGATATAAACAAAGTAATAATTTTCCTGGATTATCAACCCCGCCCTAAAACTAAGCTCAGATTCTCATATGCGCAAGCATGTATTCTTAAACTCTGTATCTAGCTACACGGATATACGCATTCGCATATAAATACATATTCCTATATTTTTATGAATAAATTAGTACTCACGGAGCTAATGTAGTCGAGAAGCGCGGCATTCGCTTCGCCATCTTTTGCAGGCGCATCAATTTGGACTCCAACAGCTTCGTCGCTCAAATCTGCATACAATACACATGGAAAATTCACATGAAAATCCATTACTATTGCAAACAATTTATGATTAGGGAGCGACAGCGAGGGCTGGGAAAAGGGACCAGTGATGGTGGCGATTTTGGAGCCGGGCTTGGCGTGGATGGTTATTGCGACGGAGGACGGAGCGACGACGCGGAGGCAAGCCGGGTATTTGGAGGTCGGAGATTGGGTAGACTGAGTTGACTCGGTGGCTGAGTTGCCTTTGTTTTTGCCTTTCTTCGATGGAGCCATCTTTCTGTTAATCTTCGCTGGATTTGTATTTGTGAGTTTTCAGAGCCGAAACTACCGGCGTCGAGTTTCAGTCGCGGCTGTCGTTTTGCTGTTTAGTAGTCCAAATCTGATTCTTAGAATTTTACTAGCTAGGGATTTTGCTAATCTCAGCTTTTTGTTTGTTAAACGGTCCGCGAACAAGGTCGCCCATTTCTTAGCTAGGGATGCCTTGTCTAAGACTGATCGTGTGAACTGCTCTTTAGTCCCGTTTCCTTCTCTTGTTCCTGTTTTGAACTTTGATGCTTAATATATTTTGCTGTTTCTTTTCAAAAAAAAAAAAAAAAGAATTTTACTCGATTATTCTCCACACACACACACAAAAAAAAAAAAAAAAAAAAAAAAAATTACTCGATAATACCTAATTTAATCTTTGATTATACTATTTTTTTTTTTTTTTAGTTCTAAATTACTTTTTATACTTAATTATATCTTCAATTTTAATGATTTTATATAATTGAATGCTCGCTTATTAGAATTAATGACTAAATCGAAAAAAATTACTATGGTCGATAATTAAATTGAGTATTAATTCAATTTTATGATGATTTATTCGCCTCGTAGAATTTCACTTCGTTGTATTTTGTAAACTTGCAGAAACAAATTAGGTATATGTAAAGTATGGGTACTTCACCATATTGTATATGTAGACTATATCAGAGATAAGATTAGGTATTTCATAGTATCATATTATTTTTATATGTCCCAACTAATAATAACTTGATACATCAGTTTTTTTTGTTTTTTGTTTTTTGTTTGTTTTTTTTTTTTTTTGGTACAACATCCATTAAAATTGTAAAATCAAAAGGTGAATTTTATATATTAAGATAAGTATCGGTTACTATTAGTATAATATAAAATGTGGCTCTATTACAATGTAGTATCTATTCATATAGAGAGGCTTGAACTTACAACCTTCCAAATGAAAGTCCAACCCGGGTACCATTAGACCACATAGTCTTGATTAGTGAATAGAACTTAAGTGAATTGATCTTTAAAAAAGGTTTATATATGACTTATTTTTCGTTGAAGGGCATTCGGATTCAAAAGACTTAATTTTCAATAGAAAATAGTAAATTCAAAAATTATATATATATATATATATATATATATATATATATATATATATATATATATATATATATATATATATATATTCTTCAATGGTGAACTCTCAAGTGCAACATATAACTGACTAACGAAGATTGATCGGGAATATATGGGCAAAACCAAACGTATCTAAGTAAGACCAGTATAAACCGAATGTATTCGACTGGTATTGACCTTAAATTATAACTGCGTTTCCCGATCCAAATAAGTGCCATGTAGACTTTGTTTAGGGCAAGTCTCGCCGCTCGTTCCCGATCGGACTTAACCAGGAAGCTCATTAATGTGACCATTCACTTAGCCTTATGTCTCACGATTAACTCAAAAGCGCTTTCCAGATAGAACGAGTGATCATATCACGTCCAATCACCTTTTCAATCCTTTCTAGACACTAGCATGATAATTGTAAATTGTGATCACTAAACCCACGCTTAACACGTGTAGGACATGTCGAAGGCTCAGCATGCTCACCCAACCTCGCCTATAAAAGACACATATTACTAGGTGAGACTTTTAGACCTTTTTCTCACTTATTACACACTCCCGAACACCCCCAATTCATTCCCCGACCATAGAATCGAAAGGAAGAACATCTTTTTCATTTTTCCTCATACATACTTGACTACGGAACAACCTTCTGAACGTAGATCCTAACATTTGTACTATCAGAGATAGGATATACCATCATTCAAATAGGGATAGGATTAGATATCTCGAAGATACCATGTCATCATCATATGTCCCAACTAATGATAACTTGACACATCACTTCTTTTTAGGTATAATATACTATTAACATCCTAATTGATGAGATGTTAAAAAAAATAATAATAAAATTATACGGAGTATATGAAATGCTTTCTTACTTGATACTCTGTAGCATTTACTTCAGTTGTATATTGGTTAGATGGAGTTTTTCACACTTTTGATCCCACGAGTATCAAACTTTTAGCGTAAATAGTCCTTCCGGTGAAATTTCCACAAAAGGAAAAGACCATTATACCTCTACTATAAAAGGAAAATAATGTTTCCGTGAAAAATTGACAAAAATTTCACCGGAAGGATCAGACCATTTGCGTTAAGAATTTGATACTCGTGGCCAATTATACAAGTTTTGAAAAATTGTGGATCTATATTGTTAGTGCTATAGTATTCATGGTACCAAAAGTACGAAAAACTCTGATTAAATGCATTGACTGTGGATACATAACAATGCTATAAAATAGGCAAATTTCAGTATGCAAGGTAAGTCAATAATATCGAAGGAAGTCGTCCATAGTCTATTTGTACATTAGAAAATGTTGAAAGAATTAAATTTGATCTTTCATTTTGTTGTAATGTCGTTTTCCCACTCACTTTCCTGGAGATGACATGGGGGAATTATTTCCACACGTACATTTAATTTTCTTCTACCAATTCCTGTGATATTAAATGATTTCTTATCTCTTCTTCAGAGAAAAAACTTGGAATATTTAACCGTCAACATGAGTAACATGACCACCACTGGAAAACTAGTATCCAATGGCCATCTGCATCTTCATGTCATCAGTTGTTTACTCATGCAAATTACCTCTGATCTCCTTCCCAATTTCTTACTCCCTCAGATCATGGCTAATTTACTTTTCAAGTTTCTGTTCATCCCAATTATATTTGCTGTAGCTACTGGAGTTGCTGCTCAACCGCAGCCTGCCACCAATATAACCTCCGGTTCCATGCTTTATCCTGACCGGCATCCCACTTCATGGTTGTCGCCTTCAGGCCTATTTGCATTTGGTTTCTACCAGCAAGGGGGTGGTTTTCAAGTTGGGATATGGCTGCAAGGAACGCCTCAAAGAACTGTTGTTTGGACTGCTGATAGGGATGCCCCTCCGGTCCCTTCGGATTCCTATCTGCAGTTTGCAACAGGCAAGCTAATTCTTTGGACTAAGGGGAGCAGGAAAGAGATTGCAGATCCCCCAGAGACTGCTACTCCAACAGCCCGCATGCTTGATTCTGGTAACTTTGTCATCTACGACAAAACTGGTGTCATCTGGCAAAGTTTTGATCTTCCCACAGACACCATATTAGTTGGTCAGCATCTGGTATTAAACAATAGACTGGTCTCTAGTGTTTCAACATCTGATACCTCAAGTGGAAGGTTTTATCTCGGTATGCAAGGTGATGGAAACCTCGTTGCATATCCGCTCAATAGCCAATCCAGGCCTGAGGATTCTTACTGGGCAAATCCCATACAAACCAGGGGTGAATTTGGTGAGGTAAATGGGGCATTTGTAAGCGTTGACCCAAGTGGCCAACTGTTTATGAATGTTTCAAACGATATGCAGTTTGAGGTAAAGAGTATAGCAAACAGTTCCAATGACAACTCAAGCAACAGGACAGTAATTTACCGTGCTACTCTTGACCCTGATGGGATTCTCAGGCTGTATTCGCACAGATTTGGCGGGACTGATAATTCAACCGTGATTGAGTGGTCTGCAAAACAAAATCAATGCCAAGTCAAAGGCTTTTGTGGTGTTAATAGCTACTGCACAGCAATTGAAGGTGGCGAAGGTGACTGTTCCTGCTTTCAAGGCTTTCAGTATTTCAATCCAAAAGTGAAATACCAGGGGTGTTACAGAGGATTCATCTATGAAGAACTCTGTAGGAAAGAAGACCCTAATCTGTCCTACAATGTTACTGTAATCAAGAACTTAACACTTGGGGGATATCCATTCTCTTCCATTTCAATGGTTGAGAGAGATTGTCAGAAATCTTGCCAGGAAGACTGTACATGTTGGGCAGCACAGTATGTAGATGGCACCTGCAGCAAATTTAAGCTTCCACTCATTTATTCAACATTAAATGAGAATAATAAGCCTGACAAGGCCATAATCAAGCAACTCTACAATACTTCCCAGTTGCCAGGCCAAGGCGTTACCATTTCAGGGGAAACTGGGGACAAGGATGGAACCCGAAAAAGAATAATCTTGATTCTATCAGTGGTTCTTGGTTTCCTAGCATTCCTGTTTTCACTCATTGCAATCTTCAGTTTCGTTTTCTACAGAAATAGAGCCATTCAGTATCAAAAGCTGTCAGAAAAGGCAAATTTAGGCCTCAATGAAGAGTTCACTCTCCGATCATTTTCTTATAGTGAGCTTGATAGAGCCACTGATGGTTTCAAGGAAGAACTTAGGCATAGTAATTTTGGGAAGGTGTACAAAGGGAAAATATCTGAAGGGGATAAAACAGTGGCTGTGAAAAGACTAGAAAAAGGTGGAGATGAAGGAGAAAATGAATTCAGAGCAGAAATAACAGCAATTGGGCAAACTTACCACCGGAATTTAGTTATGTTGCTTGGGTTTTGCTTAGAGGGAAGCAGAAAGCTTCTGGTATATGAATTCATGAGCAATGGAACACTAGCAGATATCATCTTCAACACTACAATGAGGCCTTTCTGGAAGCAAAGAGTGAAACTTGCACGGGATATAGCCCGAGGAATTTGTTATCTGCATGAAGAATGTGAGACTTGCATAATTCACTGCAACATACGGCCCCAAAATATTCTAGTGGATGATTCTTGGACAGCAAAGATCTCCGAATTTGGGTTAGCAAAGCTTCTAACACAATCTGAAACTGGAAGCGCAACTGTGGTTAACTGGACAAATGGGTATTTGGCACCAGAATTACAGAGCAATGCTTTGATTACAGAAAAGGTAGATGTTTACAGCTATGGTGTTGTGCTTTTGGAGATTATATGCTGCAGAAGTTACCTTGAGGTCAATGTCACAACTGCAGATGAAATGTTGCTTTCTACTTGGGTTTCCAAATGCTTCATGGAGGACAATCTGCAAAAGTTGGTTGGGGAGGAAGAAATAGATATGAAGTCCTTGGAAAGAATGGTGAAAGTTGGACTGCTATGCATTCAAGATAATCCCGACCTGCGCCCTTCAATGAAGGGCATTGTTTTGATGTTAGAAGGGACCATGGACATCCCACTTTGTCTTCCTGCAAGTACTCCTTAGTTTCCAGGTTTGAGGATTTCTATGTTGCAGCAAATTTATCATAGTCGACTGTTGTACTGAAATTTTATCCTGTAATGTAATAAAC